CATGTAACAGGATTAGGGTGAGGACACCTGGGGGGGACCACATGGGGAGGTGGAACACCCATCCCACCCACAACCTCTCCCTGTCCTGTCCCACACCACAAAACCAGGAGTCCGCTGTAGAGGGATGGCTGCCTGCCCGCCATGTTTGCCGTTTTGTAACCTGCAGAATGTGTGTGTCGACTCAGGAAAACGTATTCAAAACAGATTCAAACTACTTGTATTGTTGGTTTTTATGTTTTAATGATGAGGTGAGAAAGTGTTGCTGTGCTGGCATTCGTGAAACAATTTCAAAACTTGTTATAGAAGCTAAAAAGTGACTGGAAATCAAGCCATGAGCAAAGTTTTGTAGTTTTGTATGGTAGAATAAGTATTCAGATAATTTTCAGAAGTAAAAGTATAATACTACACTTTAAAAAATACTGTGTTACAAGTAAAATTACTACATCGAAAAAATCTAATTTAAAAATTAATTTTAAAAAGTATTGGCAACAGCATGCAAATATAATATTAAAAGTAAAAATATGTAAATGCAGAATCACCCCTGTCAGTGTTGTTATTATATTATTGATCATCATAAGTTATAAGTTAACAAGTAGTACTATTAAAGTAGTACTTTAATGTTGCAGCTGTTCAAGATACTTGTAACACTTCTGGGCAATTTAATCTATGACATTGCATCTTAGATGCATCTTAAAATATTCACATGTGGAATACTGTATGTAAAAGCTTAATCTGAAAAGTCACTATATGGTGGCGCAAAAGTGCAATATCAAGTAAAGTACCTCTAAACTGGACTTAAGGACCATACTTGAGTAAATGTACTTAGTTACTAACTTACTTAGCCACAATTGACAGTTAGTCAGCTGTGACCAGTTTTGACAAAATAATTATATTTGGCTTTTTAATCAATTTAAACTGGTCAAATAGTACTTAAATAGTAGTATTGTTAACAGATTTACTGTAAGTGGAAATCAAGAAATGGGTGACTTGTGGTAATAGTTTCTTGAATTAAAAGTAATAAAAAACAGCAGAGGCTTTTACCCAATCAGAACAGCTACTTCTCCATGTCCCTACAGCTCTCGCCTTCACAGCAGCAATGTAAATCAAATGGAAATAAATCTGTGACGGAGGTCAATGGATCATCATTGACGGACAGTGGATCTTCCTGAGTCGTCCCGCCCCTCCATTCCTCTCACCTCATCCCTCATCCCCACTTTTCTGTCTAACCCTTCTGCAAATTCCTGAACTCTGCCCAAGACGCCCAGTCAATTAATAAGACATTGTCTCCTCCCCTTGGAGCCCGTGCACAAGAGGCCACCCAAGAGCCAGCGGGCCTTCCCTCTAAAGCTGCTTCACTGGTGGCCCCCAGGAATGCCAATCGCTTTGGGAACCGGCAGAACTGGGTAGGATGGGTGGGGGGTTCCTGGGAAGCTGGATAATAGAAATAGCCCCATCATGCTCATGTGCTGGGGCAAGCCAGTCAAAAATTGGAGGGCAACAAAAGGAAATGCGTTCCACTCCCAAGGATCGGAGGCACTTCACCCCTCTACAGTCCAGTCTAAACCCCGCCTTCTGAAACACACAAGCTAGCACACGCACACACACTGATTGGTCTTGCCATACTTCAGAGAACATTGCATTAGCCTACATTCACCCTAGTCCTAATCTCAACCAGTTAGCCAAAAATCACCATGAGACCAGGCCAAAACATCTGCACAGGGCTAGTGGGGAGTCAGTCCTGTCAAGTATCGCTCAGCTAGACCACCGCCACACACTCATCAAAACCCAGCTCAGAGCTCAAACTCTTCTATCATGTCCTGTCCCATTTTGTATTCATCAGCTCCCCCATTTGAAGAAATGCCCTCTGGGAGGAGGTATAGACAACTGTGTAGACAACTTGTTTTGAGCTCATGGAACTCTTTGTAACTACTACTGGTAGTATTTTGTGTATTTGATTTGATTTGTATTATATGTTTAGGTTATCTGACATCTGGATTGTAAACCTTTGGTACTTACACATAGCTTATCCTATCTATATCTATAGTACTTTGTGTATTGTCATACATTTTATTTATATGATGGTTTTAGTAGCATGCTTTATTGAATGTAATCATAGTTTGGGCTGGGCTGCTTAGTTCCAATCAAGGGAACTCTTCAAGTGAACCAGATGAATGCTAAAATGTAGTGTAACAGTAGCACGAATAGAAAAGAGTTGAAGCCAGCTGCTCACACAGAAATTTCCACTATGCACTAGTTTTGCTGTTATTTCCTCTTTCAAAAGCTGTAGTCTCTATATGCAGTAGTCTCAGTAGACAGTAGTGTGTTTCCAACTTTGTGGTAACAGTTTGGGGAAGGCTCCTTTTCCTACACAAAGCGAAGAAATTATTTTCTGACTGTAGTGAGAAAGAACTGCAGAGACCCATAGCTCTGACCCCATCCAACCCCTCTGAGAGCTATCTATCTATGATGACCATAAATTGTTGATTTGACTACAGTCATCAGTAGTTTTGGTTGTTATAACATGATATGAATCTGTTTTGGTAGAGGTGTTCCTCATATTTCCAAGGCTTTCTCTTCTCCTTGTCACATTTATGACTCTTTAAGTGCCATAATGTACTTTTAACTCCAAAGCACATGGCCATAAAATCAGCAAAGAATTTTTCTAACAGACAAGGAGAGTCTTTTGGAAATGTGGTTGACAACAATACATGTTGACACGAACGAGAACAAAAGTAAAATTGTTTCAGGTTGTTTACAGAGTGCTTTGAAGGTGAACAAAAAAGGGGTTGCATAAATAGGCAGAATTGTGCTTCATAGCACAACAAAGGTTCACATTGTCTTGACTTTACTACTATTACTAATACATTTCTTATTCTCTGCATTTCAAAGCTGCGTTCGTCATCACTACGCCATTGTAACTAAAAGTTTTAGTCTACTATGTGTTTGGGCAGGAAAAAAAAGATTATTAAATCAACTGACCATATCTCATAATTGGCTTTCATTCTGAGCCTGTTGTAAAGAATTTTAAAATGTTTGTATTTCTCGGTGTATGTCTTTCTTGATGTATTAGCTGATAGCCTGCCTCTAAAAATCTCAATGATGGATTTTAGAGTGCAGACCCTCCATCTGAATACTTGAACAGTGTACAATACATTGTTTAGTAATGGATAGCATGTTAGTGCAGAGAGATTTCAAAGAAAATAGATATCATGCGCGCACACACACACACACAAACACACAGGACACACTGTGTAATGAGTTTCTCCCACTGAACATCCATATTGACAGCCGCATTGCAAAATTAGCCAGGCAAAAGTGCTCTGTAAGTGCACCATCTGTATTGTTGCATATAATAGCAAGTGGGGTGAAGCCACAATAAGTGGACTGAAAGCCATGCATTGTGTAGTAGTACTGTTTCAACCTGATAAATCACCATACACTTGGAAACATGACCTGCCTTCTGACTTGTGTTGAAGTGACATTAGATTTGACAATAGAAAAGGCAGAAATAATGCACGGAAAAAGGACACTTCCACTTAAAACTCCACAAACTAAACATGAATACTTCACTATAAATTTGCCTTTGAAGCATCTTTAGCTCTCATCATCTTCAAAAACAAAGGCAAATAATTCAGTAACTTTAAATTAATGTATAATCAATCTACATTTAATGGTTACTGTTTTTTATTGATATATTTTGTGTGTTTTTGAATGTTACAAAAATTCAGGATGAATATTTCTTTGAGTAACTGTGCACCCAGATGACCTTTCTGATGCACTGATCCAGAACTGACTACCTCACCAGGTCTTGAAAACAAATTACTGGACTGGTTTGGGAGTATAATCTGATTTTTGTCACCCAGTTTCCCTGTTGTGTGTTCACATGCTCAACACCAAAAACTCAGTTTCACTTATTTATATGTAACATTTTCCAAGGGGCAGATGAATGTGACAGAAGCAGAGTCCAGCTCTCTGAAAGCCAGAGAGCGTCCTCTCCTGTCAGCATATAGCAGTACACAACAGCAAAGACAACTTGTGGCTTTATACTCTGTGGATAATAGAGCTGCAACAGTTAGTCCATTAATTGATTAGTGGATTGACAGAAAAGGAATCGACTACAACTTTATTAATCAGTTCATCTTTTTATTGTTTTTTAAGCAAAAATGCCAGAGATTCAATAGTTTTAGATTCTTAAATGTGAATATCTGTTGGTAAAATTAATATCTTTGGGTTTCAGGCCAACAAAACAAGCACTATGAACAAGTCAGTTTACAACATTTTATTCATTAAACAATTAATCAATTATTAGAGAACATAATGTTCAAATGAATTGCTAGCGATAATAATTAGTTGCAGAAGGTAGAGAAGCTATGAATATTTAAATTGTTTTATTGCAACATGTGACAAACATATTTTAATAATCAATTAACACATTTTTAGGATTCTAAGACCCTAAAGCCATTAAAAACATTTCTTGATAGATGACACTAAACAGATAACACTCACAATCTACACATACTATGCTCATTTATTATTTCTAATCCCCTAATTATCCTCAGATGGACAAGTCTCACACTAGTTTATTTGTCATTCAGTATTAAATATGCATCTTATAATCACTCTTTAAAAGAGATTGGAAACCTTTGGTCAGGTCCACTGCACATGACTATTTTAATCAGAGCATAAAAATATGTAACTGCACATTTACAGAACTTTACGTTCACGTTTTGAGACCTAATTTTGGTTATAAACATACATCTAACTGACCCGGTTCATAGATATAAATCGTGATATGACAGTTTTTCTAGCAAATTTAACACAATCTTATATTGGATTCATCATATCTATAAATAAAGTCTCAATAGAGTTCATGCTGCACAGTAAACTGTTCCAGTAGTGGAACTTTATTAAACAGTGCCATCTAGAGGCTGCCTGTGGGAATAGTCTCCCAACATGCCTTTAAAATTATTATTAAATTAAAATACCATTTTTAAATATGAAAAGCTTTGTACCTAATTTTATTAGTAGAGATCAATAAATGAACAGGAACATCGCACATTTAATGTCCTTCTGACAACTCATACACACAAATCCTGGTATCACAAAATACCTTCAGTAATGATGTAAATACACTTGAAAACACAATGACATCAAGGATCTATTCAAAGACTCATCATGACTGGTATCAGGTTATTAAATGTACAGATGTATTCAGCCAGCAAGTAAAGCATTTATTGACGCAAATCAAGGTTTTTCCTCATGGTGGGCCTAAAGCCCTGCGTGATGATGTTCACAGTGCCCTAAAAAAGCAGGTATGCACATGGTATATCCTTGCTGTAAAAGTACTATCCGGTGTTGAGGTTTTCTATTTTAGTACTACTTAGAATTGTTGGACAACAGCCATCAACACAAACAGACAGATGAATGTTGAAACATTTGGACGGGCACAAAGTCAGAGGAAACTTTTTCCTTTTACAAAAAAATAAAATAAATTGCATGATTAAAAAGAACATACAAGTGCAAGTTTTGCCCTTAAAGCTTGACTTCGTGTTTTGAAACAGTTTAATATTGACCAATCTCAAAAGGGATTCACTGCTACAGTACATTTTTTGGACATACTTCAGTAACAATATGATATGATCAAAAAGAAAAAAAAATATTGACAGGAATGAAGCGGTAGCACATGCATCATGGTTATGGCTGTGGTTGCGACTATGATATGAGGAGTATGATAATGCCTGAAGTGGCAGCTTGGCATGAGCACTCAATGACATCCCTTTATAACTTGCAACCTCTTCGTGACACCTTTTCTGTCAACAACAGAGCAATACTAGGTGGAGTAAGCCTACTAAATTCAAAATCGGATGTTCCAATGTTGGCAGGCGCCCAACCTGCTGAAGCGTCTTTGAGCAAGACAAAAATGTCATTCATTCACACGTGCTTCGACCTCTCTGGAAGGGGTACAGATACAGATTCAAATTCCCCAAAAAAAGTATCTTCTTATGAGGGGTATCTAGCTTTGGTTGTGACATAAGTATGAAATTCCTTCTGCGGCCCAAATATGATAGAGGTTTTTTGCAACACTGTGAGCATTGAAAAATAATATTTAAAAGTTTTCCAGAAACAACGCCCGGGCAACTTTAGATAATCCACTCACCATGACACCAATTTACATTGAAACTACTGAGAAGCAGAGAAGACATTCTCGGCATGTTTGTAATTTCTGTAAAGCGAACCGTTACAGCGGTGGTTCCCAACCTTTTTATTTTGAAGTTACCAGTCTACACAAGTTGATATAAATCTGGATGTCATTTAACACTATTAGCTACATAAAACTTAATATTGCTTAGACTTGTTTTGTCACCAATTTGAATTGCACTCCTATAACACTGTCACTGATCATCGACAGTTGAAAGAAGTATTTAAATAAATGCAGCAGAACTAGAGATCTGTCTTTTTAATTTTGCTTTCTTTTCAAAACCTGGTGCCCACATTGCAACTCGACCACCAACAGTTGGGATAGAGATTCAGGTGTGTTGTGCTACCTCAGGCAAAGTAGAGATGAGCAGTAGGCTATAAAGGTCTGGTAAGCTCACTTCTTTTAAACTCCACTGAAATGTAAAGGCTTTATAGAACATTTTTTTTCAGATATGCAGTAGTACTTACTGAGACCTGTAAAGAGACTTTGATGGAGAAAACGGTGGAGTTCCCCTTTAAGATCATCCTCATACCAATGTGTAATCAAATTTGTGAATTTGTTTTCCTCCTTTTAAGAGCTAGGTAACCCCCCCGGCAACTGCAAAAGTAACCCCTGGGGTACAAGCATTCCTGGTTGGCAATCACTGCTTTAAAAGGGATCACATTATTACAGGTCATTGTGGAAAGCCACTTGTTTTTGCAGCACCACCAGAGGTTTTGCCACTTCAGCACCGTGGACAGCTCCACATGATCCCATACTAAAATCTAACCAAAATGAACCACCAAAATCACTTTCACAGACAATATATGCAGAAAAGCACCTTAACTGAGAAGCTGTGCTTTCAAAGCACGATGTACTTTATGTACAGTATGGGGACCCACATCTTACTCATAAGCACATACATGACACCAGTATAGAAGCACACAGGGACATCCAAAGTCCAATCTTTTGACTCTACAATGCACAACAGCAGTCACTGATTTATACAAAACAGTTAAAGCTACCAGCCCTCTAATTAATGTTGCAAAAAGGTACACAGTAAAGCTTATCAGGTAGGGGAGCTTTCAACCTCAATTCAGAGAGAAGCAAAAAAGAGGAAGCACTGTAGGCAGAGAAGGAACGTTCATTCAAAACCCAGGGAATCAACAAAAACATGTATCAAAGACAACAGGATGGCAAATCCCCTCCCTCTCTCATAGTGGCACACTGAACAAGCTGTTCATCAAAGGGGGGACAACCTACTTTGGAAATCAGCCCCAAGAGACACTGGTACTAAACAAACCCGTTCCTTATTTTTTTTCCCTACAAAGAAAAGTGAGCTAGGTTCCACAGAGGCAGTGAGTGGAGTATGGTATTTTCTTTGGAACAAACAGCACTGCAGCCCACTATCAGCTAATAGAGCCTGGCTCCCAGAGGGGAGCTCAATATAGGACACTTTTCCTCTTCCTCCACTTGAGCTATTAATACACCCAAACAAAAGAAAAGAGGCTTAATGAGGCAGCAACAGGGAACTCATGCGAACTAAGTTAGACAAGAGCTTTGTAGTGTTTAGCTCCAAGGATTCCATTCCTTTTAAACAGGCAGAGGATCCTGCTTTGCTATTTCTATTGTGGCTGACACTATGAGGGTAAAAGTACAGTATATGTACATCATGATGCACCCTTTTAAGCACTATGTTCAGACCCATTTGATGAGGTCTTTGAAATGGCGTAAGCAACACAACAACAAAGAGAATGCATAGTTTTGAGCATGATAATGTGCTGGATATGGAAATTATAGACCCTAAAAAGAATCTCTGAAGAAACACATTGTACGCGGTCACAAAATTACCTAAGCTAGTAACATCTAACATATTTCACCATTTGGAGAAAAACAAACAGAAACCGTGATATATGAAGCATTTCTTTGCATATTTGCATGAAAGGAAATATCTCATGCAGCGTAGAGCAGCTACCTTGAAGTTAATGCTTTGGTTCAGATTCAGAGTGCACTGAAATGGAAGAAGATGAGGGAGTGTATCTAAATGCACACAGTAGTCCAACTAAGGATTTGTATCCTGATTTAGCAGGAGAAACTGTTTCCAGGCAGCTTCACATACTGAACACAAATACTGCTGTACATCAACAGAATACAGTATTTCAACTATTACCATGGAAACAGACTAACACACACTTGCAAAAAACAATTCACAGAGCATGGTATTTACTTGCCTAACTATCCTGGCTAACACCAGTATTGTAACATTGGAACATTACAATATTCAGGCTATTGTAAAAAGGGTTTTGGTGTTTACATCCATATACCTCAAAACAGCAAAAATTCAAAGTCCTGAATTAAATCAAGTATATTTAAATATGCAAGTAAACAAACTCACATTAAATCAATTAAGGATCTGCCAAATAAAAGCTAATAAAAATAAATTAAAAGAAGAGGTTGATGCTTCAGTTTACATCATGCACTGGGGACTTCATACTAACCAGATATCTGCCTGAAAGTGAGAGCTGTAACACTGCAAAAATCACCATTTCAGTCATGCAGTACAACTTGTTAAATAGAGCAAGGGATGGTGTCAAAAGTAAAAGAGTGTTTGTTTGAGGTCTGTCCTCAGGAACTTTATCATGAAGGGTAGATCATTTTGCAGTATGTTTAAGACTTAAGGCAGTAACACAAGGGGCCCTATGTTGCCTTAAAATGTCCTAAAGTATCACCACCCCTTAAATCATAAGCTCACACCTGTCCATTACCTGATTTAATTGCATTTTTGGCACATAAATCTTTCCATTTTAAAATAATCTTGTTTTATCTGAAAAGGAAACCACTTGAAGCTGCCCGTTGGCATCTTGACGCATTCACCTCGAACTAAGCTGATCTGAATTTTCCATTTGGGGCATTCTGCTCAATCCAATTGGTTGTAGTGATAATGAGACAATTAAGTCCTGCACCACACAAGGCAAATCCACTGCTGGGCTAAATACTGACTTGAGGATCAGAGAATGTGGAACAGCAGCAATGCTGAGCCTTGAAGTAACCATACTCCCACATCAGAGGGAAACATAAGTCTAAATATAGCGCTTCTTGTGGGGTCACATCCCCATAGGCAGCAGTGTTCCCCATACAACAATAAAGCCACAGATTTGGCTGAACACTATATCCAAATTTGGTTGTTCCTACAAAAAGATGTTCACATGTTTGCTTCTTTAACCCTTATGAACAAGGATTTTTTTTGACCACTGGACACAGTTGCAGTTCAATTGTAACATTCACCAGACTCCTTAAATAATTCAAAGGACTTTGGTTACATAAATTTGACAAACCATTAACCAGTAGCCAATGGTGTTAATCTCTTCTTGCCTATAGTAGTCTTACCATATCTACTTAACTGTGTCTCAGTAACCTACTTACAAAGAAGTTTAAACAGCAATCAGACCACATGAAAACAGTCTTTTTAGCTGATTGGGAAAAACATACACATACACAAAACGTCTTTTTTTTTTTTGAAGACTCACTGTATCCATTATTTCTTTTCAGATCAGTCTGAACCATAAATAAGTTAACAATATAGCTTATCATAAATAAATTGCAGTCTGTAAAATTCACATATAAATACCCTGCTCCATCTTGCAGAGACTTCCCAGAAAAGAGAAGTGGACCGACTTTACATTGCGATGCGGCACATTGCTTTTCTTCTCTCCCTTTGACAAAAAAATACAAAGCATCCATGGTGTAAACACTACGACTCTCCCTTTAAAACCCCTGGAGGCATTTACAAAGACAGGTAAATGGAGCAGACAGAGTAAGCTGTTTTATGACGAGACCGAATATGTCTCTCCACTGTCTGTCTGGACTTGGGGCAGTAGGGCAGCCCTTTTTCATTCTGGACACCGTTGACAACTTCTTCCTGGTCCAGTCCCTGATTGAAACAGTCCGTGTGAAAGTGAGAGAGACAGAAAAGGGATAGGCTATTGCTAATGATGATTGATTGATTGATTGATTGATATTGAGGTGACGGTTGCTGCTCTTGCTGCATGCTTGGTTTTGGACACGTGCGAACGTCCATGCAATTGAGCCAGAGGCAAAGAGCTGCCAGGGACAGAGAGAAAGAGAAGAGAGCTGTCTCTACACTGGTCCAAGACATCCAACGGTTTATGAAACTGTCTAATTCTCCCTTTTCATTTTGCTGTCTCACTGTCCTTCTGAGAAGTGAAAGGCTGGATGCGCTGGTTGGTGCTCAGAGTCTGTTCCCAGGGCCACTGGTGTGCTGACAGGTGTGCTTTTGGAGGGCTGCGGGTTAGTGTCGCCCCCTGGAAAAGTCTTCTCTTGAGACTGGGAAGAGGACGACGAGGAATGGGTGCTCTCACTGGAACTGCTGCGGGTCTCTGTGCTGGTACTCGTCTTTTTCATCTTCCTCCTCTTGGCTAGTGGCGCCTTGTCCACCGTCTGTAGGCGAAAACCTTCCCGCTTACATTTGTTAAATGCCTGGGACAAAAAAAGGGGGGAACTGGTTAGACAGTTATGAATGATTAATCCCCTCTCAAAGCTCTCACTGATATCTTAAGACATCTTGTTTTGTCTATCAACAGTCCAAAAAAGACAAAGCAAAGAAGCAAAACTGAGAATCTGTAACAAATGAACGTCTGATATTTTTGTTTGAAAAAGTACTTAAAGGATTGATTAATTATTAAAATATTTTTTAAATATACGTTTTCTGTTTTTTGCTTAATTGGTTATGTGACTGATGATTTCAACATAATGTTAATAATCTATATATTTTGGCTCTCAAGTCGGTATAGGTTTAACAGTGGCTTCTGTGCAGTCCATGAGCAGCAGCAATTGTTCAATACAACCCACATTTTACAGGAAGACGAAAGTTTGAGAATTCCTGACTTACGCTCATTACTTACATTAAAGGTAGCTTTGACGTAAGTGTGGACGGAGGCAGTGGAGGAGCCGAGAATGTCCGGGGTCATGAGCGGGTTGGAAGACAGCTGACTGTCGTCCTGGAGCCAGGCATTGTAACGTAGGCCACACATCTTAATCCTCTTATTTGGGTCCACCGTGAGCAGCTCTGCAGGAGCAACACACAGATAATTACCTTTAGTGCTCTTAATACGCAAGTGAGGAGGTGAGCCACAACGAGGAACTGATTTCCTCGTCAGTGACTGTGAGCTACTTTGTGTGGCTGGCCAACTCTATATACACAACTAAATTTAAGTTTGTGTTGTTTTCTGTAATTTGTATGGTCTAGATGCAATAGTCATGTGGTCTCATAATTTATTGCAATTAAAATATTTTAGCCAATTAGATACACACTTGTCCTGTGAAATGTCCTCTAAAATCTTACAACTTTGTCATTAATACACTAAAAATGTACCACAGAGTCAATGTGACATAACATCTCTTTAACTTAAGAAAATTTTCTAGCATGGTTTGAAGGTGGGGTATGCGATTTTAATCCAATGCACGTCTTTTGGTCAAAGTCAACGACTAGCTCTTCACAGTCAGCTTGCTGGTGTTTGTAAATCGGAAAAAAACAACGTGGCCTGGACTTGACCACACAACACTATTCCAGCTATTGCATCCATGATTTGTGTGTCAGATGAGGTTAAATGACTTGTCCATGGACATTCAGCTTATTTTCTAGTTCACCAAGACATGCTGTTGTTGTGATGTTAGCTATAGTAGCAGGAGAGTTGTGAGTGTCGCTGTCTAGAGCTGGTGTGCTGGCTCTGGGACCGTCTCATCCTCTCTGCATTTTAGCTTCGCAGCAGCAAGTGTACCGGCAGTTTGCTCACCCACAACTTAGGTAATGGTAGTTACATTACTTGCTGTGTTGTTATTCACTCTATATCATGGTTTCTGTCATGGTATTGGATTTCACCAGAATCGCATACTCCACCTTTAAGACATCAGACTTAAAACAAGCCACCAGATACATCCTCGCCTTGTATAAGGTCCTTGGCCTGCTGGGACACATTTCTCCAGGCCTCGCCTTCAAAAGAGAAGTCCCCCTGTTTGATTTTCTTCATGATTTCCTCAGCACTGGTGTGGGTCAGGCTCTTCTCCTGACATTGAAAAGGAACCTGGCCAGACAGCATGGTGTACTGCAAACACACAGGAAAAACACACAATCTGCTTTCAAAACACCACGAATACTCTTTCCAGGTTTAAATATCCACACCGTAAATCGAATCTAAACATTTTGCACAGTCAGTGTGGCACAGAAAATGCTAAGTGCTTGTTTTTGTTAACCGGTTTGCCTACAATGAGCTGGGAAAGAAACTAGACATAAGTGTTAAAACACATCTGCTATTAAAATAACATGCTTTAGAGGAGCTCTTAACCGATCACGACTGTTCACATTTTTTAATTGTTCTGCTGCATGTTGTTGACCGTGGCTGAACCAGCACTAAACAGAAGAGCGGCATGTACTCAGCTGAATGAACAGGATACGCTCACCTTGGCCTGCTTACATCTGCGTCCAGATTCCCCATTTAAATGACAGAAGTTGGGTACAGCCCTTTTGGCAGTGGAGGATCTGTCGTACCCTGATCTCTTCCTCGCTCTCCCTCCCTCTCCCTGTTGGCTCACTTTGCTCTCAGGGCATTGTGCACACAGCTTGTCAGTAGCCATTTCATCAAAGCTCCATGAGACACACTACTCCCATATCCCCCCAGGGGGCGACGGTGTGAAACAGCACTTGCACAAGAGCCCAGGCTCTGTATGGATGACTGGCAAAGTACAGAAATCTCTCTCTCAACTCTCCACCACCCCCCTATGTGCCCTCTCCATCTCTTCTCTACCTCTCCTTTTAATATTCCTCCTCTACACAGCAAAAGGTTGAATTAGGATGACATTTCTGCTACTGGGAAGCAGCATCACCGCCTTAACCAGTTCTGAGAGCTGGGCTGGTTGCTCTTCACTCTGTGGTGAGCGTTTAAACTGTGTCAGCTCACCACAGGATGCTGAGGGTTGTAGCGCTGAACGAGAGATGGAGATGAGTATCATGCAGTACTGATTAAACAGAAGATGCACACACATGCATACATACATTTATGTGTGTGCATTCACACGCAAAAGCACCCCTCTACTACACACGCACACTGAAAGCCTAAACACAGCCAGAATCTGTTGAAATAACAGATGATTGCTTAATCAGAATGGCCTGCAGCAAATGTTTAATCCATAAAATGGATAACGTCAACAAATCAATATTGTATAGAGCTCATGATTAAATGTTAATTTGGTTTTAGAAATTCTTTAGTTAACAGTACTATGAAAAAAAACTTTAAAGTGGAGCTTCAAGCTGTGGATTTTGAAAAGATTTTTATAAATCACAAATTTATATAATCAGGTCACTTTCCTGAGGGTATTGTGGAAAATAGGCCTGTACTTGTTAAGAATGTGCAGTTACAATGACGTTGCTCCTGAATAGGGCTAATCAATGATCTGTTCTTTAGTCCTATTCCTGACTGAGCAGCATTATTTCAACAGCATTAAGTGAGAGCTCTGGGTGTAATTCTGTAAGTATCCTAAGTAACTTTTCACTTGATCATGCTATTGAAATCTACAGCCCTATCATAATGTATAATATACTTTACTTTTGAGAGAGACAGACTGGTCTTCCCATGTGACTGAGAGAGTGAATTAACAGCAGTGACCATTACTTGGATTAATGTTCCCAATAATAAATATTTTCTTTATTGATTCAATTAGTGAGTAATCATAAATGCCCATCAGAAGTTACCAGATTCCAAAGGGAAGCACCGAGATTGCTTTCTCAATTCGATAAATAGTCAAAAAACTCAAAATGATCCAATTTAAGCAAAAAAGAAAAAAAAAAAAAAAAACATCCATCAGTCCAACTACCATTATTTTATTTTAACCTGAGCACAGCTCTGCCGTCCCACACCCACTCACCAGAATGACCCCCAGACTCCACAGGTCACAGGACTCATCGTAGCCGTCATATTTGAGAATCTCTGGCGCTGCGTACTGCAGGGTGAAGCAGGGAGTCTTCAGGAGCTGATTGTCTGGTGGTTTGAGGCGAGCAAAGCCAAAGTCTATGATTTTTATCTCCGAGTTCTCACTCTCGTCTGTGAAGAGCAGGTTCTACGAATCAATTGGAGACACGAACAGCAATCATTTCTCTCTGCTCTGCAAAACTGGTCCACTCAAGAGCTAAATTGGACATCAAGACCAGGTACTTTTGACCCATGTTAGGGTCAAACAATTTTACTCTTGTTTTGTAGAAGATTGCAGAGTCAGAATGGTGATACGACAGATCATACAAAGTTCAGAAAAACACAGTAATTCTTTTTAAAGCGTATGATACAGGCTGTTTGTATTTATCACAAAGATACAAACTGAGCTCAGACAGAAAAGAATTTCTAGCAGTAGTCCTACTGAATGTATGTCCAATACCTCCGGTTTAAGGTCCCTGTGCACCACTCCTACATCGTGCATGTGACTGACAGCCGACACCAGTTTTCGCATGATGCGGCTGGCCTCTGTTTCGCTGAAATGTTGCTTTCGGCGGATCCTCTCCAGCAGCTCCCCTCCACCAAGCAGCTCCAGAACCAGGTACGTGTGGAGCTACAGCAAAGACACACACATAATATATTTACACTGCTCACCACCCACTGTTACACCCATTTCTAACCTACAGCAATGTTTGCACCTACTATACTATTTCAGAGTGTGTCGCAGAATATGGGTTTTGCAGTAATGTATAGTAAATCTGGCTTTCACAGCTTGAAGTGGAAAACAGCTGAATGTTGAAAGGGTGGATGAGATTTTTTTTGTTGTTGTTGCATAATAAATATAGCAAAAGCAGCCCATCCTTGATCCCATGCTGGAAAGATCAAACCATAATGGCATTGAGTAAAAGTGAAAGAGGCCAAACAAAGTGGGAAGGGAATAATGTGTTTGGGCAGCAGGGTAGAGTTTCTCATTAGTGCTGGGTCTCAAGAACAAAGGCAGAATTCGGTTGAGGAGAGGCGAGGCAGCGCTGCTTTGATCTGGGTCACAGGCCTCTGAGGTACAGTAATAACCACACTGAGCTCATCAGGACTAAAGTGGTGCTCCTGGGCTTGAAGGACCGATGCTAATGAACCTGTACACAGTCAGCCACATGGACACACCTTCCCAATAACTGAGGTAAACTTCAGTTGTAACACATGCACACTTAGTTTGGTTTGAGTGTGAGGCTCAATTAGCAACACAAGTAAATCTAGGTTGTTTCTATTCAGTGGTACAAAATGGATGTTTGTACAGCTGCAGTTTAAAATACATTTGGTGTGAAATATCAAACACACAGAGGGATGTTCATGGGACAATACATGAAGAGATAGACAAAGACCTTGAGCGCTTCAAGCTTTCCCATTAATCTGCCTTGTTCCAGTTCCAGGACTCAATAGGGCTGCGGTCTCCACAGGATCAACAGAGAGCCCTGCAAAACAGAATTTATGGTGGGAAAGGTAACCATACCTGGTCGTGGTAAATTTCATGTAACTTGACAATGTTAGGGTGGCCATCGCAGAGCTTCAGGGCTGCGATTTCCCGCTGAGTCTGTGCCTCCATCCTACAGCAAACACAAGCAGGAAGCCAGATCACTGTCACAAAATACAACATAAATACACACATACACAGCAGAGTGAGAAATGGACTTTTCAAGGCAGTTTTTGTCTCCTTCATTTGCCATTTTGATCTAAAGTGGGTAATCATAATGAATTAGAGAGGTGTGCTTTTGCATTACACATTAGCAAATAAACAGTATGTACCAAGAGAAGCAAATGCAGGTTTTAGAAAAGACAGAATGTCCCCAGCCAGTTCATCTAGCACTCATTAACATTCTACTTTTTGTATGACATTTGTACAATGTCATTTTTTGACAGTGAGTTGTGTTGGGTTGGCATTTTCTTCAGCTTGGTTTTCCTACAAATCACTTCAAGTTGCCCACAAGTTTCAGTTCTGAAATGTTCTCACATTTTTAATTCAGAGGCATTTCTATAAATGTTTAAGTGCAGTTTTGCTCTGCAACCTCACTGATGCACGGTTAGAAAACAATGTGGTGCTGTGATTTACTTCCTGAATGTCTAGATTTCAGGAACATGCGTTTGTGTCAGGAGGACTGTCGCCTCTTTTTAGAGCCATAATAATTGGTGCCACGCTGTCAGTGGAGGAGTGTAGTGTAGGACTGCAGTCAAAACACATGATCAAAGCTTATTTTGTAGCAGTTGCCAGCAAAAAGAAGTATGTTTGTGAGCAAAAATGTATTTACATTTATTCAGCCAACATCTGGCAACCTTACACAGAGTGATACAGCAAATACAATCTAAGAAATTATGTAATCATGTCAAGTTATGACATTATTTTGGATTCATCAGTTTAACAGAACATTTATTTGATTTTTTTTTATATGATTGTTGTTTAGAGTTGCTGACAAGGGTCCAATTTCTGCCAGGGAGAAGAGGATGGTGGCCAACTGATTTATCCGGTCAAACTATCAACATCACACAGTCAAAAGCATTTGGGTTGAGAAAGACATCTGAGCAAGCAGGCCGCAAGATTGTACCTCTTGCTGACAATCTTGACTGCATATTTCTGTCCAGTCTTCTTGTGTGTGCACCGTCTGCAGATGGAGAAGCTACCCTCTCCCAGAACACTGTCCCTCAGGTCCATCTCATAACTCATATAGAAAGGAGAGTCCTGCAGCAGGGGAACAGTGGACACAAGCAAGTTGTTTGGCGATGCCTCTTAAAATTTATATCTGTCATATATATATATATATATATATATATATATATATATATATATACACACACACACACACACACACACGATGTGTGATAATACTGCTTTGTTAAGTATTTCACCACAGAGTGATCTGCAGCAGTATGAGGAAGCTCTCTTGTTGTGCAATGTTTTAAAAATGAATTTGCATAAAAAAGAGAAACGTGGAAGTGGCAAACGGGGCTAAGGTACACAGACACAGATATCTCAATACTGAATATCACAACAAGACAAGACCGTTAACTAGCTTTCTGTTTGTGAGAGAAAATGGCAAGAAAACCTGTAAAGCACAGCGAGCTCAGGCTTTACTGGAATTCTGTGCATATTTGGAGCACATTCTTGCCTGAGTGCTCGGCTGAAACTTTCTAAAGTAAGCACTAAAGGATATAAGTAGGCTATGACCCAAGTTATAAATGAACGCCAAAATGCTGATTTTCTTTTTACGAAAATTCTATTTAATATCCCAGCATTTTGTTGATTAGCCAAACATTACTAAAAAGGTGTTTGGCCTAGACTGAACAGCATTAAATGATTAACTATAATCTGTATCTGCAATATAACAAACCTGATAACAAATCTTGAAAATGGCAAAGTTTCTGAAATCTCTACACCAGCAGGTAACCAGTATGGTGATGACAAAGCTACAAACCCAGTGAGTGTACAAAAGGCAATGCACTGCTTCCTTGCACAGAAACACAAGTGCATTCATGAACAAACATCATTAAATAAAACAGACTCATGCCTGAAAACTGATTGCAGTAAAACAAGTACAGTAGAATAAAGATTGTAGTGGAATGGAGAGGAGGTAAGAATCTCGTTTGTATGTGACAGCAGCTATTAGCTTAAGTGTGTTTGTACAGGGGGATCCAAGCCCATTCATCTTACCTTCATCATAGCGCTGCGGGCCACCGCAGCAGAGCCTGGCCTGTCAGAGCCCCCACACAGCTGGACAGGGTCGTCCATCACCACATTCCTCTTAAATAGGATGGAGGGGGCCATGAAAGAGTAGCCCTGCACACAGAGACACATGAACTTAAGGTGTTTACATTTTACAAAGACTTAAAGTGAGTGCTGGACTATATGGACAGAAGGAAAGGAAACATCCATTGCTGCGGTTCACAGCCTCAGAAAAGATTGCAGCATTAAAATCCCCCCCAGCATTTTTATCCATATTTACTTTAAAACTTACGTATTTTTCTTTAAATGTTTCTACAGCTCACCAGCTTGTCAGCTTGACAATAAACCCAATTCTATTAATTTGTGAGTGACAGCGGCTGTCCAGCTGTTCCTATTGTTAGACCTGTCATTGTGGAGCGCTGCCAGCTTAATTCCAGCTGTGGGGAGCCCAAAGCTTTGAGCTGGCATTAATCTCTCTTTCCCTTTTTCACCGACACACACACACACAGCTGTGTGGTATGTAGTGACAGCCATGGATGGACGGAAGGATGGATGTTGAATGAATGAGATGCCCTAAATTGCCGGGCTTGAATATTTGATTGCTCTGCTGTGAAATTACATCTTGGCGCTCTTAATGCAATTTTAATTTTGTTTTGTGAGGCACGGTGGGGGAGCAAGTGCACGGTTTAAAATTGGGATTGCTGTCGTTATCTCAGAGATTGCTAGGCTTGCAAATTATAAAGACCACAAAATTTCAGACTATGTGAATGGCAGCTGAGAGCGAAAAAAGCCAAGATGAAGTTGGCAATCAAAGACTGAAGGCGTAACCGAGACAGACGTGGTGATGCTCTCAAAGTGTAACCTTTTATTCCATGAGAGAAGCCCGTTAATGGATCTATTGATCTACCGAGCTCAAGGATCCAGAAGGCAATCAGAGTTGAAATTTCATGCAATACATCAGACAGCCATCAGCTGGCATGGAGTTGTGGGCCATATTATGGTTCAAAGCTACATCAAAAATAGTCATTCACATCTGTTACTTCAATAAGAGCTGCATATGGCAGCAATTACTTCAATAAAAGACCCTTTAGTCAATTTGAATACCAGTGCACACAGACAGACTCATGTTGACTTACAGCAACCTTTTGAGGACATTCAAAACTTCACTTGATTACTTCAATTGCTGTGGAGTATGTCAAATATAGTCACAGACAAAAAGCAGATAATGCATAATGCGATTTTTCATCTGTGTCAACATTTCACACTGCCTGCAACCAAAGCCCAGACAAACATCAGCACAAAGCAGATGCAAATATAGATGTTATCCTGTGTAATGTCCTGCAAGGAGCACAAAGGAAACGTTCCTGTCTGTAAACAACAAAACCATGAGTCACAACACACACAAAAAAAAAAGTCTGGTTCACCCTCCCACCTGGAAGATGCGGTCACAGTTCTGAGGCAGAGCTGCAGGAGAGTAGGTGGGGTCCATCTCTGTGAACTCTTCTGCGAAGTTGCTGACATCCAGCTCATCCCGAATCACTGGCTTGAACGGGGCAGGCACCTTCTTAGCGGCCAAATCCTCCCAGTTAATTTTCTAGAGTTAAAAAAAAAGAAAAAAAAGAAAGTGAAACATTGTGGTTCATCCCCATCCTTATTAACGTGACTTATACAAACACTCCCAGCTTTCCTAAATGCTGCTCATTCAAAGCAGCCCCATTATGTATAGTAACAGCTTTAGCTTTTCTAAATATTGTGAACCGTTCAAAACAGGCAGTGAGACCCACCTGGTAAAATGGGTGTTTTTTTAAATTCTCTGCACCATTAGGACCTGAGCCCAATCTCTTCTTTGGATCTTTGATGAGGAGCCGCTGGATGAGGTCTTTGGCCAATGGTCCCATATCTTTGGGGAAAGGAGGATCCTTTTTGGAAATCCTCCTGTGATGTGAGAGACAGATATGGTCAGTGTTGTAAGAGTGAATATAACTGAAGGCTAGCTGAAAACTGTGGCTGATGATCACAGAGAATCCATACTTGGCAATGTCTGTGTGCGAGTTCTCATCTCCATCAACGGTGAAGGGTGAGCCGCCAGTCAAAAGCTCATACATCAACACGCCGAGGCTCCACCAGTCCACCGCCTGGAATGCATGAAAGCACCCAGCCATGACTTTGGCTTAACAGACTAAAAGAAAAATCTCACTGGGGAGCACACGCATCCAGGAACACAGAGTGGAGAGCCTGGGCTGCTTGATTTGATCGAATAGAAGACAGCTTAAAACAAACTACAAATTACCTTGTCATGTCCAGACTCTCCGCCTTCCACAATTTCTGGAGCCATGTATTCAATGGTGCCACATACAGAAAATGCCCTTTCCATCTGTTTTAACAAATGCACAATTGACACATTTTAGAATCACAAAATACAGAAGATGCATATATGATTCAAGATTCAGTACAAGATTAAAGCCCCTGAACAACCTGGTTTCAAATCTCAAGTATTTCTCTGTAACAAGGTGGTGGAGCAGTTTTTCTACGAGTGGGTCCACATCGTGTTTGTCTCAAGCATGCGGGCAACACTATACACATTCCTGTTTTCACACTATTCCACTGATCTACAGGTGGGCAGTTAAGGCAACAATATATATGCAGCAATGAGCCAACAAAGTCAGGAAAGAAAAAGACTGCTTGCTGGTAAACATGAATGTAAACAAGGAGGTTTCAAACTTTTAAATAAAAATCATCTTTGCAAATGTTTTATAAATGCATTCACCACATTTGCTAGAGCTCAAGTGAACAAACAAAAATGTGTTTTGATAAGTAACACTGTATGTAAACAAAGCTTTGGTTTGTTTTCAAGAAATCTCTACAGGGCCTCTTCAGCATTAAAAACTCATAGTTCCCAAGTTCGTAAAAAGATCTCTAGGCATTATTCATGAGGGGTTTATCACTTGAAAATTCAGCTCATCTGATAAAATATCAAATTACATCCAATAGAGAGATTAAGTAGGACCCCATTTCTCAGAAAAGAAGTTGATTATACATTTGAAATTATGCTTCCATTAGTATTTTATACTCCTGAGGTGTTGAAGGATAGACAGGTTGTAACACACATAGTTGAGACATACCGTACCTGATCAAATTCTTTACTGAGCCCAAAGTCTGTCAGAACTATATGACCACTTGAATCCAGAAGAATATTCTCAAGTTTCAGGTCCCGATAGACAATCCCAAGCTACGACAAGAAAATGACAAGTGAAACACGAAGCGTGCAAGCAGCAGTAGATAACTTCTCAACAGCCATGAGGTCTTGATTGTGTTGAAACTGGGCGTTACCTTGTGTAGATGTTCTAGTGCCAACACAATCTCTCCACTGTACAAGGCTACTTCTTGCTCCTTAAATCGCACCCTTTGCACCAAATGTGTGAAAAGCTCCCCACCATTCACATAATCTATAATAGAAGATATCATAAATGTCAAGTTTCATCCAAAATAAAATATGTTGGTTAGTTTTTATTTTTTTTATAGGGAAGGGGAAATACTTCTTTTATTCTCTGCTGATACTAATTCGTTCTGCTGGTGAAAATACATTTCTTTCATTCGGTTAAAAACGAACATGAATTCTTTTACTGATTTTTATTTTGCTTGTATAAACATAACACAGATGAGGCAGCACACAAAAGGCAGTTTCGCATAAATTCCTAACCGAGAATGAGGTGCAGCTTGGTATCCGTCTGGAAGGCGTAGTGAAGTGTGACGAGGAAAGGAGACTGCCGGATGTGTTCCAGCACTTGACGCTCCGTCCGTGTGTGTTCAGCAGTCTTTGCCTTTTGTACAATAGTGGCCTTCTTCAAAACCTTCATGGCATACAGCTTCCCAGCATCATGACCACTCACTTTCCTCACCAGGAACACCTTGCCGTATGCTGGTGGTTAAAATGCACATAGACAGAGGGCCAGGTTCAGTGCAGAGCAATGGGTTAAATAGAAATGACACATGATATCAGATGCCAGACCGGTAATGCAAACTATCATCCAAATGCAGTCATGTTCTGTTGAAAACAGGGCGAGACAATGGTCAAAAGTCTTACTCACCTCCTGTGCCCAGCACCTTTAGTAGCTCAAAGTTTTCAATGCCCACCCTCTCTACATGGCCCGTCAGGTTGGCTGAAGTCAGAGCAGAAATACAATATTAAAAGAGAATCAGTTAAACCACTCTAAACACATGTGGCTTGAATGATAAAATACATAAAAAAGGCATGAACATCATGTTACTTGAGAGTATGTATTCTCTTACAAGTTATTCACGCTTAGAAAAAGATGTGTGAAAGTATATTTTCACAATATCAATGAGCAGCTACATGGGAAAATGTATGTTTATATTCCCTGCACTGACAGCCCTACTCTTTGCAACTGCAATTGCTGTTTGCAGTTGATTTATAAATCTCCCACCTACCTTTGGTGCCACATTAGACAACTCACTGGAGAAATGAGCACAATCTACAAGGTATTCACTAATAAAAGGTAAAGGTATGAGGTATAAGGTATAAAAGGTATGTATAGATACATGGTAGACTGTAATATAAAAGCGAAGGGTCTGGCTTTAGAGTACCTTTAATCATGGCCCTTCTCTAAAGTTTAGCTGTTGCTTCTTGTAAGTAATAAAAAGGTTAAAAATATTTAGATAACCAGCAAGCTAACAGGCTGATATTTCAGGAATACAATGACCAGCCTCTAGCCAAAATCAGCCAAGATATTGATACGGCCAAGTTGTAAATACATTTGAAACTGATCAGCCATATTTAGCCATGGTTTTAAAAATCTGTGGACATGAACACCAGAAGGCACACTGCGTCACCTTACAATCTTTTATACTTTTTGTTTTGTAACTAGTGCCCACGGTATAAATGTATTACTGCATTTCATTTTGATAAAACGGCATCGAAGAAATGGGCTTTAAACTGGAGGGCAAGTGATTTAAAACAATGGACCAGTAGGGAAAGTCTGGGAGGTGGTTCCATGAACGCAGAGCCAGCAGCAGCAGACTGGCAGCACAGGGCATGTTGCAATTGTGAATTTCTTTAATAGTAAATATGTGCAGATACTGCAGACATGCATCATTAGTAAACCTCCTTTATGCAAATAAAAGATCTAAAGAAAGCAAGTCTTGTGCTAAAAAACTGACTTACACTTCTTTACTTTGTCTCAAATATGCAACAGCAAGCAAACTTGCTACATTAAGCAGCAAAAGGTCATTATCTTCCATCAGTGTTCTTCAGTGAATTCAGCACACACTGTCAGTGACTCCTCCTGTCTTTCTAAATCACACTGTCCCAGTACAGCTGACTGAGCGTAGTAGCACGCTCTTGGACATGCATGTCCATTGTAGTGAACACATTCCTTCTGTCTCACACTCTTAAAAATAGGCTACTAAGCAATTAAAACGGCTGATTTAATATTTTCCACTGCTTCTCCTGTTACACACGTGAAGAAATGCTGCAACTGCTGCACTTCGAGTGCATACCGTGTCATCTCAAAACAACAACGCTGTCCTTCAAATTTAAGGTCAGAGGTTCAGGTTGCATAACACCCTTGTCAAGCTCACCCTACCAAGGCCAAGTCTGATTCCAGTGTTTATTAATAGACTGACAGAGGTGTCCAACCAGATGATACCTTACTGCTTGATAAGAGGAACCTCTTCGGTCTCTGCAATCGGAAATGCCGATTTTCCTTAAAATAAAAAGCTTTCCTTAAATTGTATACTTGTGTTGGTTTTCTGAACAATCAAACAACTAGTTACAATTACCTTTCAACAAACTGTTGTTCATCAGGAGAAGTGAATATTCTGTTGTTTTTTGTGTAAAGCATCAACACAAGGATGCCTAAGATTATTCAAAACATCAATTTTTTCATACAAAAACACACATCTGGCAGGACAAAAAAAAAAGAGACACAGTGAACACTTTTTCGCTGCTTGAGAAGAATATAGTTGCAAAATATATGTAAATATGATTTTAAAAGTCTGGCATGGACTGGATGGACTCAGTGGGTACGTTGATCCTTTTATTTTGCTATATTGTCTTCACTGACACAAATGCTAAGCAAGGGTCCAAAGGAGGGTTAAGTTGATCCAGCAGCTAAAATGCTGTGTGAAATCTAAAACACAAAAACGAGAACCAGTGACAACTAGGCTGACTGCATATTTAGGGCAGGGCAGTAAATGGGGGTGCAGCATAGTCATGTTGCAGCCTGAACAGCAGCACTGTGTCATTATTAACCATTTTCAGCTGAGGCAGTGTCGAACTTCTCCCCTCTGCACTGAATCCATGGACTTGCCAGTCTACTCGAAACAAACACTCATTAATACTCATGTACTAAGTCTCAGTCATAAATATTCAGGTAGTGTAACTGTTGATCCTTTTGGAGTAACGTTACTGTCGTGAGATTCTGCTTGTGCGTGTCATCAATAATTTGTGCTATCATTCAGTAAAACTGCCCACCCCCCCAAAAACGAAGAGCCAGCAGGATCCAATATAAACGTCACAGTTTTACCTTGAAGATGATGTTGAACCGTGAAAAAATGTACCTGTCTACCATTATTACACGACTCCAACAGTGTCTAACGTTAACGTACTGTTTCCGTTCACCCCTCTATAACTTCATGCAGCAATGAAACCAAGCTAACGTTTAACTTAATCTTGTGACTTCACAGCACTGCAGCTGTGCCTACTCTTCGCTGGCTAAGGAGAAGTTAACTGCGACCGCTTACAAATCCAAGCATTAACAGCAATGTCCAACTCATTTAGTCATAAACGTTAAGTGAAGGCGTTGACAATGGCGTAAACTTACTGAAAATCTCTGTCGATGGTTTGATTTAGCCTAGTTACACGTCAACAACTAGCTTAAGCTAATGTTATTACCTGGGTTGACCACGGTTAAGTAATGTAGCATTTAGCTAACGTTAGTAAAATGGGTTAGGTAACGTTAGTTTGGGCGAGTTAGCTGTAGCCTTAAAGGTAATAAGGACAGTCAGCCTTCCTCTGCCATTTCTACACTCCAGTAACGTTGACGTTAGCGCTCACTACAAATGCCCATTGACAGTGACAGTTGGTTCTTCCAAGCTAGCCAGCTAACGTTTCTGCAGGGCACGTGTCTCTCCCTAAACATAAATGGCAAATAAAACGGACTGCATTAAAAGTTAAACCAGCTCGCAGATAACTTACCATTTTTCAGCTCATGTTTCACAGTAAAGAGGTCACCTTCTCTGGAAGATCCCTCCATCGGGGATGGCATCGTAATTTCCAATTATGTTCAAAGATGCTTTTCAGACAAGGTTACGTTCACCTCGCAAGCTAATGTGCAATATTAACATGCAATTGTTAAGCAAGATCATTAAACGCCTGACACTTATGCGCCAAACTTAACAGATATACAGGCAGAATATTGCTACAAAACGTAGCAGCAAGCAAGCCCAGAGGAAACACTTGCTTCTTCCAGCACACCACCACTACCACTACCATCGCAACCACACAGTCCCTCTTCGCTGATTGGAGTTGCTATGTGAAAATCTGACCCCCGATTGGATGTTTTCGTATAAGCGACACATGATCCTGCCTTCCTCAAAACTGGTGCTGCCTTCAGTTGTCCCTTGTACATGCCCATGTCAAAGGTCAGACATGCAAACACTCAAATGCAATCTATTGCACATAAAAAGTTAATTCCAAGTTCAAATCAGAATATATATATATATATACATTTATATGTATATATATATATATACAAAATTGTGCTTTAGTAGGTTCTTGTTTATTTCAGAAAACAAGCTGAGAAGTAGTAGGGCTAGGCCAGCACAGTAGTGGAGAAGTACTTTCCCCAACCACTGTAGTAGTAACCAACTGTAGTTTCGAGTGACTTGTGCTTTACACGTCTATAATAAAAGGTAGGCTTAATTACTTTAATGAAATGCCTTTACATTTTCCAACAGCAATTGAGAGTATCTTGTTTTGCCGCAGTGAAAGTAGATGGTGGTATGAAACAGGAAATTATTGGGCAAGACAGACAGCATTTCTTGAAAATAATCAGTTCCCATTAGTTGAAGTAAAAACATCAGGGGTAGCGCCTATCAGAGAGACAGCATATATCGAAAATAATCAGTTCCACTTAGTTGAGGTGAAAACATCAGAGTTACCAGAGACTAAGATCATGATTAAATCATACATTGAAGTGGATTTGGTTATTGTGTTTTTTTCATTTTGAGTTTCCATTTGCGACAACAGTGAGATGTGCACACAATACAGGGAGTCATATAAGCTTTGACCTGCTAGGCCTATAGGAAAAAAATGCAAAATAATGCAAAGTGCTGCTGGTGATGAATGGCTGATGCTTTATTATCGATCTATAATTATGCCTGCCTGTCCTAAAACCTGGAGTGAACTTCAGGGACATTCAGCTTTAAATCACATAGCCTACCGTGCACCCCTGTGTATAGTAGTAGGAGCCATTTTCCCAAAACAAGGTCAATGTAATGTGGTTCACCAATTTGTACACGGGGTGTCACCGCCGAGAAAATGCTACTGTGAGGTATTGGGGACTGAACATGTTGGCTATGTGGTGAAATCCATGAACTGCTGTAATGGATTCTTGCATGAATAATTGAATATCCTTGTACAGTGAACAATAATTATACAACATAAAGCCAGAAGAAAGGAATTTTTGGACTGTGTTTATCTCACTAGACACACAGTACTCTGTTTGCAGTGGACCAGCTGTGCAGTTGGAGCCCATCAGCGGCTCTGTAGCCTTTGAGGCTACAATAAATGGAAAATACTCCATTACAAGCAAAAGTATGATGGCATAGTAGGGCAAACTCAGATTTTCTGAGATTAAAATACACATTTACGAGAAAAAACATGGATATTCCCTGAGATTAAAGTCATAAATTTACAAGAAAATACTCGAAAATTCACATGAAAAAAACTGAAGGATTCTCTGAGATCAAAGTCAAAAATGTGATGTGCTTGTGTTAATAAAGTCTCTGTACTCTATTGAAAGCCTGGTATGTAGATTTTAATAACAGCAATCACATGCGCTACTCAACCAACTACTGATATGAGATCCTTCCTTCTGTTCAAAGATTGGGGACAAACCAGACATTTACGTGACATGACGCGTGCTTTAAAGTGGTTTTGTTGCAGTCCCTCATATCTGCCAGTCTGAAAGCTCCACCTCTTCTCTTATGTCTGCACTGACTCGTCTTGTACGCCTTGCTCGTCTTGTCGTCCTGCGTACAGGGTCGCGGGTTGTATTTTTAGTGACAGAGAAAAACTCTTTTTCTTGTAAATTTACAAGTAGTTGTGCAGTAAAATAGCCCTTGTGAGTGATGCATTCTTGCATATTACATTTTTAGATTTTTAATACTGATGCATTAATGCATAAGCAGAATTTTATTGTTGTAGCTGCTCGAGTTAGAGTTAGTTTTATATACAGTTAGGTAATTTAGTCAAGTGTTTCTCAACCTATGGGGTCTGACCCCCCACCAAAGGGTTACAAGTAAAATCTGAGGGGAGATGATTAATGAGAGAAAAAATAAGTTTTGCAACAGAAATTTGGATTAATTTTCAGACTTTACATTTTCTTTGTTTTCTGAAATATATTGCATAATTTCACCACTGTGGGGCTCAATTTGTTTGAAACCATCTGATAGATTTTTTTTTTTTTTTGGAGAAACATCTCTTTGGTATCCAACGAAGGAACTGGACTTAGTTGAAGATCTTCAACTAAGTCCAGTTGCCCTTGAATTTAACCTTTGTTGGATAACTACGACCTGGATGACTGAGAATCTTCATAGACATCTCTTTGGTAGAACTGCTTACACAGACATCTGAATCCTGACAAGGACAATTTCAGTTATGTGCTAAAGTATTCCACATGAAGCAACAATTTGGTACTAAAAGGTCCAAAGGTGTTGAGAGGATGATTTGAGTTTGCTTCTTTACTACTAGCCAAGGCAAACTTTGAAGTAGTTTGCCTTGGCTAGTAAAAACAACTATATATTGGTGATGAAGTTCACGACCTTACGGGTGTTTTGTGATACAAGACTCTATATAGTTACGACAGAATGTAAAGCAAGCTTCACCTTTCCCAACTTTCATTTGTGTTGAAAGCATTTGCCCTGAAGGATTGTGAGGGTGATTACCTTACTCCTATGATGGTTGTGAATACTTAAAAACATATCTAAATGTAAAGTCAGATGTGCGAAAGTTAAATGAAACATTTTTCCAAGATGCGCAGTATAGCCTTTTTAAGCACTTTGATTCAGTTTACAATTTGTCTCAAACTCTGCCTCCACCTTGTGGTGGCATGCTGCTACTGCTTTCAGCTAGTTCAATAAATTACATTTTACATAGCAGATTTTTTTTTGCGGTCACCAACTTTTATTGACTCCAACTGCACTGACAGCTGCCATGGTTAATGGGACGATGGTATACAGACATAGAACTGACAAGTCACCTATATCAAAGCATAGATGTAGGGAATACACAAGTGTTATGAACAAATGATCAACTTGTAACTGCTTGACAGGCAATAAAACAGCAAAAGGATACGCCGTTTCCTGCTTAATGGCAGGTAATCTTGCAAGGCAAGATGGTAAGTGTTTAACAGGCTTTTGGTACCATGAAAAATAAAAAATAAACAGCTCTGAGTGATAATTAGTAGACAATCTACTTGTACTTTCCGCAAACTTTGATGAACTCCACTGCAAAAAACATAGTGCCAACCTAATGGAAGTTACCAGTAAACAACGGAGTGACCCTGATACAACCATGCAACATTTATTGTATAAAAAAAAAAAATGTGTCTGGGTTGGATGATTAGATATTCCAGCCATTCTTACAGTATACTCATAAGCTATTCATCTTCACACAGCCTAAAACTCCAACAGTAACACAGAACAGTTCCCAGTATGTAACATAAGATAATTTTACTGGGCAGCTTCCATTGTGAATGTGGGAGGTCAAACTGAAAATCAGTGTGCCTAAATATTCATCTGGAACTTCGTTTGAGGAGGAAATAAATGATTCAGGTCCCCCTCCCCCAGATCTGATCCACAGCACAATATATGTTAAAATCAAAACACTCAAGAAAGTGTGTTCGGAGTCTGTGTGTTCTTTAACCCAAAGGGTCTTTTTTTTTTTAAATGACAACAAAAATGTGACAGCAGTTTGGAAAGACTTTCTACCATAGTCTGCCACACTGGCATTGTGTCAACTATGTTGAATGTCCGGATAATAAAAACTTAAAAAGACACATAAGTAAAGGCATCCTGGAGTTTTTTGGGGGGGGGCAAAGCAGTAGGCAAGAAGATATAGGGCTACAGAAAGAAGCCATTAAAGTCCCTGTTAACGTTATCAGTCCTCTGCATCCCGCTACATTCAGCAGGTCCCCAAGGTGAACTATTTGCATTTTCACTCCCGTTGTTCCAGCATCCCAGGGTGGTTAATGGAATTAAAATCAATCACAATCTCGGTCCTCTTGGGCTTGAACTGTGTGTACTGTACGCCTGCCATGCCGAGCAGCCTTCTGGAGGCTGTCATTTCCGGCTTGTCGTGGTACTTATCAGAAAGATAGATCACTTCCTTAATGCCTGCCTGGATGATGAGCTTGGCACACTCATTGCAAGGGAACAAAGCCACGTACATGGTGCAGCCTTTCACATCAGCACTGTTCTTGTTCATGATGGCATTCAGCTCTGCATGGCACACATACGGGTATTTAGTGTCAAGCCGGTCGTCAGCAGAGCGGGACCAGGGTAGCAGATCATCATCACAGCCATTGGGCATGCCATTGTAACCGATGCCAACTATCTTATTCTCCTGGTTCACGATACACGCTCCCACCTGTGAGCTTGGGTCTTTGCTCCTTTGAGCTGACAGAAAAGCAACAGCCATAAAGTAATCTGGCCACTCCAGGTAGTCTTCTCTCTTCCTGGCTGTGGCGCCGCTTAGATGACCAGATTTTGGTGGCTGGGTTTCGTCCATACTTTTTCTATAATACTGGAGTTACTAGAGGTTTTTCTGCTGGACTGTGGTTGTGTTTGCTGGATGTGAAAGTCAGGCGCGCCAAAAAAGTACGTCACGTCCACACGAAGAAGCAGGAAGAGGAAGTGGCCGAGTCAAGAGGCGTTTTGTAGTCCTTGAACGTCCAATGAGCTGCGTGTTCCTCAGAGTCAGCCAATGGTATGCGGGTGTTTTCAATAAACACCAATCAGCTTCTGGTCCGATTGATCCGGTTTTCAGGAAGTGCACAAAGTCGTCAATCTGGCTTCCTTCTCAAGTACCAGTGATAGTACTTTGACAGCGAGCTAGCTAGCTAGCTTAGTAGCTTCACTTCACATCGCTGCTATCTCACTGACCGACCTCCGCTCCCAAGATGGCTGGCGTTCGACCCCTTGGTGTTCTTTCCAGGTTGACATCAAGGCGATATACTCTCTACACAGGTAGAAACCACATGTATTTAGTATTTAAAATGA